CCTGCTGAAGCATCAGTTTTTCAGAAACATCAATTTCTTAAATCCTGGAGAGAGAATACTTGCAGAGAGGAGACAACTTTCAATCCTTAATAACAAAGTTTCAGTGCCAAACTGAAGCAGAGCTGCTGCATTGCCAAAAGTCCAATATAGTCCTCATGTACTTGGTGCTTTGTTTCTAATTTACATTTCCACATTTGCTTGCTAGGGAGCAGAAGGGAGTTGAGGGTACAAGCTAATGAAGCTACTTCAGTGTTTTCAGTAGTATTCTGGGCATCTAAATAGTGGTGTTTTTTTTTTTTCATTTGGCTTGAGATTCTGTAATACCTATTCACACAAAAAGTCCTGTAGATATGGCAACATTATTCCTGTAATTTTACCACTTGGGAATAAATGTATATGATGAGTCTTTTGGGCATATTGTTACAAGTTTGTGTGACCTGTATTAAAAACCACATAAACACAACAATTTCCTTAGCCACAGTAGTTTTTATACTGCCACATTTTCACTGGGTTACCCTGATCCTCTCTTGACAACTCAATTATGTTTACTGCTTCTATGCCATCCAGAGAAATAATTATTCCTTTTTTAAACAGTGAACAGTAATAACCAGTAAATGATGCATACCCTTTCTCATTACATGTACTTTAAGACTATAGCAGTTTGAATGTTTCAGATAACTTGAGTTCAGTTGAAGAGACTGAAAAAAACCATAGGTCTGGGCTTGTAGGTGGTACCATGTTGAGTAAATACGTATTGAACAGCAGGTCTCTGAAAGATAGAATTATTGTATTGAGTATAGGTGTTCAGAGAAATGGAATGAAGCCAAGTTAAGGCCATATCTTCAAGTTTAGTATGTGTGGTTTTTTTTAAGTTTAGAAATGGCACAGGAGAAATTCCATGGTGGTGATTAGATAATGGAAAGACCAGAGGTTTGTCAATACTATTGAATTTCATTTTCACCTCTTCAGCATTTTTTCTTTAACAATGACTTGTTCAAATGATTACTAATTGTCACCGAAAACTTCTTTATTAATAAAGTCACATAGTAGGGCTCATAATCTGCTTTTTGGAGCATCTACTGTGCATCTTACTAGTAGACAGCCAAGAAGTTGCAAAGGAACTTTTGTAGTTTTTGTGGGAGCTACGGATGATGCTAATGACATCAGAGTTTGCAAATGCTCAAACATTACTTGGAAGTATAAATCCTGAAATGAGTGCTTCTAAGAGTGATCAGCTAGGGCTTTGTGGCAAAATCTTTGTCTTAGCATAATATAAAAGCAAGAGGTAATTAGAGTATGTAAATTAACCATTTATGGAAGGAAATTTCCATGTGTGACTGTCAAATATTATTGGCCTTTGTAAACTTTTCTCAGCTCGTGTCTGGGCATTAATACTGATAGTAGAAACCTTTTTTAAATGTTGTTTAAATGGAAAGTTACCATTCTTAATTGACAGAATCAAATGAGCACTCTGACAGATGATTAGCAAGATTTTGCTATTTTGGGTTTAGCAAAACAAAACGATCAACAGATAAGGTTTCCTGGGGAATGATCCAAAAAAGCATTCTTTAGACATGTCCTTTTACATATCCAAGCATGAAAATTGCATAGTTTAAAGCTCTGTAGGATTATACACTCATAGTAAAATTGAAGTAACCGTACCCTATTGGTTAAACATAATTTACATGAATTCTAAATATGCAATGTCATTAGAGCCACAGAAGCAATGTAAGTATCGTCTCACTGTGATGCTAAAGATTTTATAAATAATTTTTTATCAAAATAATTGGCTTTGAAACAGCATTACGATGTCTTGTCAGGACATACTCATCAGTGTCTCTGAAAATCTCTGCATGACCCCTTTAAAGCATGTTCCCATCATAACTAATTAACACATTATAATGCTTTATTGCCTTTCAACCCAGCAAATTTAAAATATGTGCTGCTTTCTATGTGAAAGGCAAATCATTCTTCTTGCCATTTCTGTTATGTCAGTGAAGTTCCAAAACAAACAGCAAGACTCTCAGGAAACCCAATTCCTTTGTTATTACACCACTACAGGTACTGAAGGTCTTCACATTGGTATAGCAAGTAAATGTAAGAGAAAGTAATGTCATGCTGACACTCAGAACGGTGGAGTTCTTGCTTGTCATACATCTACCTGGAAAGGGGAGACCTAATACTGGACTGAGCAAATCTGCTATATGGAGAAAATGTTCATATATGCATTACAGCTACGGAAGGGCCACACCAAGCAGATGTAATATGAAGAGATAGCAAGCATTTATTTACATTATTTAAAATTTTGTCTTTATTGCAGAGCCAGATTACATTAATGGATATGCCAGTATTTAAAGCTATACAGCCTGAGGTAGGTTTTCTTAAACTATCTCTTAGAAGTTTCGAACTTCAGTGTGTGAGGAAATGTAACCATTTAAATAATGCTTTTTCTTTCAAAAACGCTTATATCAACTTCTTGCAGTTCACTAATGCTGCTAGGTGTATTCCTTGTTGGCCCTGTGACTCTACATGTACCCTGGCCCCATTTATTCTGTTTTGCTGGCTGTCTTCAAAAGAGATGACTGTGCTTTTCTGGAATTCTTTCTGTTTTGCTTTGTGTGAGAGTTTCTTCAGGATAAATACATCAAATATCAAAATTATCTTTCTTCTCTTCTGGTCTTTCTTATCAGTTCATTAGAGTTTGACTTGCACCTGTAGTTGTAACCTGTATTTTAGGCTGCATCAGCTGCTTGGTAAATTTTCAAACTTGTACTATCATGGTTAAGATTAAATTCTAAGGGAATAAATTAAAAGTTAATGTAGTAGTGCCATTTAATTTTTTTACCTTTTAAGAAAGACACAGAGGAGAACTATTTCAAATACTGGAAATTTAAGTTGTTCACCAAGGATTTCATGTTAATATCTGCTCTTTCCTCTCTTTGTTGGAAAGTAGTCTTTACTAGGAAGAAACTTTTTCCGTAATAGCCTTTTCAGTGATATGAGTGATATTAACTGTCTTTTCTGAGGACAAGAGAAAATTTAATGAAGCTGTTGTGGAACTGCTGCTGTTGTTGCATTCTAATCCTGCTTACCTGCAGGGAGGAACACGATGCTTGCTTTTTCTTTTGTACTTGTTTGTGCAAGGTGGTCAAGATTGTTCTGCAGAACGAGCTTCCTTTGTATTCAAGAGGTACTGATAAATACACTGACATATGGAAATAGGGGAATTGCACTTTAAGTTTCCTGTGCCAGAAAGAGGAAATGAAAAAAGGATGGAGAGGTTGAAATGATTTGCTTGAACTTGCATAGCTTGCTTAGTTCAATGGCAGAACTTTGCACAGCGGGAGTCTCCTGAGTCTTCAGCTCATTAATGAGCTACCTGTTTTTGAATTTGGTGTTTGGGAGAGCCTTACATCGTTGTATTTTCTTCAGGTTTAAATATCTTTTAAATGTTCCTGTCCGTGCACAAACTCATGTTAGATTGTAGAGGGCTGGTTGTCAAAGACTTCTTGCTTCAAGCACACAAACATCCTTTAAACATAGCACATGCTGAGGCTTGTTTCTGTTTTTCTATTGAGCTGTCATTAAAAAATGTGTTTGCATGTTACTTTATAAGAGCTCAGTAACAGAACCTCTGATTAACAGTTCTTTGTACTGCAACAGAAATAACTGCTTACGTTCTAGATTTCTATTTAGCTTTACTTAGAGATTTTTAAACATCCTGGAAATGGCAATCTCTGCAAATTGTTTTTTTGCATACTTGGTTGGAAAGTTTCTTGTAACTGTGTACATTAAGGAAATTATCTGCATCCTTCCATACAAAAAGATGAAGTTTAATACTGGAAATAATATATTTCAGCAGTTTTAAAAAAAAAAAAAAAAAAAGTTCAGCGGGGGAATTTTGGATCACTTACTCATATCATCAGTTTTTCTATTTAGTCCAAATTTTAAACTTACCTAAATTAATTTACCATGTACAGGATTTTCCATTGTTACTCACTAGCCCTCTCACAACTACTTAAGATCCTTAGGTTACTGACCTCTTCCACTTTGCTAACAAATGTGAGTTTTGCTATCCCTGGTAGAGTGACTGAGATTTTTCCACATAAGCATATAATTTCCAGGCTCTAAGATGAAATATGTGCTGATCATGTGGAGAAACTCTGTCTTGACAGGTGCAAATTGGCACTGTTATGTGCAGAAGGCTTAAGTGCTGGAAGATTATGATATGGAATGTATTTGGAACTGGAAATGCTTTTCCTGGTACTCCCACAACAACATGCTGCCTTTTATTTCTGGAGAAAGTGTTCAGTTTATTAGTGTGTACAAAGTGCTTTTTGGAGACAGAATTCTCTTTGGCTGACTCTGCCTTTTGGCCTGACGGCCTCTGAAGTTAATAGCAATCATTTGGAAAGCTGAACAACATTCTGATTGAAATTTTGTGGTTCTAAAAACAGAAGAGTGATTTAGTCTTATGGAGTCCTCATTTTGAGTATGTACGTATCCTCTGCTTGTTAGATCCAAATATAAAGACTGTATAGATATGTGGTAACTTGAATCTGTAATTAAAAAAAGCCAGACTGTCTAAATATATTTGGAACTGCCTGAAATAACCTTTTGAAAATGGGCACTTTCTTTCTGACAGAATCAAATCTGTAGTTACCACTTCAGATTTCCTTTGATGCATTATTTAATACAGTTAATGTAAGGAGAAATCACTAATCTGCTTTTTAGTACTTCTATTTTTTAACTTTACAGTTCCAAGAGGAACTTCCCCTATTTATTTTGCAGTTTAAGTGAAAGACATTTTTTGCCATAGAACACTTAATGTTGTTGCTGTTATAGATTCTTCAGCCTCCTTACAGTTCAAAAATCAGAAGGTTTTTTTAATGTATTGGAATTAATTAATTGCAGTTACAAGTATATAAAACAAAAAGCCCTAACCCCAACATTCTGTCCACTGGAAGACCTTCAGACTTGGGACCATTACTGTCCAGCCTTTTTCAAATGATAAGTTGTTGCAGTCTGAGTATCGCCTAAAGGCATTTCACAAAAAAATTTTAACTTTAATTTCTAATTCCTGTAAACATTAATAATATTACAGTTGCAAAATTGTGTTCTTCGAGTGTTGTAGATCTCACATTTCAATAAACAAACCAAATTTAGAGATTAAGTATGCTATACTGTGGTGTATTCATGGAAGTTTTATAGTGCAATTTATTACTAACTGTAATAATGGTTATATCTAAATGTCACCATACCTAATTTACCACCGGTAGTTGCACAGCTGAATTTTGTATTCTTAAAAAAAAAAAAAAAAAAAAAAAAACCTGTATTTTTTTTAAATTTTTTTTTTTTTTTTTTTTTTTTGCTTTAGCTTCAATTTTGAACAAGGTAGATAAGATTACATGAAAGTGAAGTCTTTACTCCTATGTCTGCTAATGTGCTCATACGGGAAAACCCTGGATTGAAATGCAGAATTAAGCTTCAGAGACTTCAGCAGTGACTGACTGCACGTTCTCTCTGTATCTTAGTATTAAATAGTGATGTCTATTTTTCCAGTGTCAGGAGAATATATGAGTAGCATCACATATGTATGTAAGGAAATGTTTGGATAGAGTAGTTGTCATGGAGTGAGTGCCTTTGGATTAGTTTTAGAAATATCTGATACATGTTCCTCTCATCTATCAGTTTCTACACTTCTTAGTGTTTCTAAACATTATTGACGTTTAACACGATCTTTGTTTTTCCTAGGAACTAGCCAGCTGTGGATGGAATAAGAAAGAAAAACATATCCTCGCTCCAAATATTGTTGCCTTTACTAGGAGGTTTAACCAGGTAAATTCTGATTAGTGTGATGAGCAGGTACTATTTGCCACTTCTCTTTGAATACAAAGTTAAATAGAACTACTCCTATGAATAAAAACTCAAGAATTTAAGTATTTTACTAAATGAGGATTAAGATTTTAAATTGACAGTTTCTATTTTCAGTTATTTTTTCCATGTTTTTTTTCTATTTTTTCCTTTAGATTTTGAGTTCCTGATGCTCTTTGCTGATGTGTCATGCTACAGCATTAGCTTTTCTTCCCTTTCTTATCCTGTGTTCCTTCTATTGCTTCAGTTATCATAGTGCTGCCCCACTTTTCTTCCTAGTTCTTAAGTCCAGTGGTACTGCTTTGGGATAATTACATCTATAAAGATGAGAATTCATGGGATCAGAACTGTTCTCTTTTCCTACCTTGTGTTTTCCAAGGAACATCATGGAAGTGTACATATTTTTAATCTAATAAAGTTATTCTTATAACTAAATTCAATTGTATGTGTTTACTTTATAGGTCAGTTTTTGGGTTGTACGAGAAATTTTAACAGCACAGACCTTAAAAATAAGGGCAGAAATATTGAGCCATTTTGTGAAAATAGCTAAAGTAAGTGCATATTTATTGTCTATCATTCAAAATCTTACTTCCTTTTTGTTTGTTTCTGCACTACTCCTATCAACCGTTGTTGGATTACAGAAGGTAACATTCTTTTCTAGCGCATCTGCTATGTTGTACCACGTGACTAAGACAAAGGTATGGCGTCTATTGTTTTCACTTAGCTAAATGAAAGTATTCAGTTAAGTGTAACTGATCACTGCTCTTGTTCTTGCCTTGTTGCCTAACAAGGTTAAAAGTGACTTGTCTTGTTGCTGGCTAGCTACTGAACTGCATAAAAATAAAAGTAAGATAACAGATAACAGAAGGATTTTTGCCGATACTGAAAAAAGTTAACTGTTCTGTTTCCCTCCATTCAGATTTATCTTTTTGTTTATATTAAAAAAAAAAAAAACTCAGAAAAATTTTTACTTCTAAAATGATCATTGTGAAACATCATTCCTATTTGCAACAAATAGTTGTTGATATAAATTACCGCTGTTCAAACTCAGTTATTTTAATGAATTTCAGCACTGCTTTTTACAAGTCGCTCTTAACGCTTTTTAAATATTTATTCCATCTTCTGCTGAAATTCTATGGATGTTCCGTAATTTAAATGTTCTTTAATAATTCCACATATCAAATCTGTATCGCAGAAATGGCCATTGTTCCGTGGAATAGAGCTGACATTTCAAGAAAGACTGTGGAACAGTTAATTTTCGCTGAGGATGCTGAGTGTAGGAAAAAATGGTTATTTGCTCCGTGACCTGTAGTCATTCAGTTGTGCATGAGCACCTGTGATACATGCTGATATTAGTAAGAAGATAGCAGTTGGATCAAAGACCTGAGTGCTAATCTTGTACATGTGAAATAGTGGGTCAATGTGTGTGCATATGTTTCTGTATTTTTTTTTAATTTTCAAAACAGCTGATGTTATCTAGTCTGTGGATTGAACGCAAAATACTAGTGCAAAGGTAATTAGAATAGTATTTTACATGTAATACAAGCAGTTTGGTTATATATTGTGGACATGTCCATCAGTTAACGTAGAAGTTTTGTGCTTATGCAGAAAAGAGCATACCTAAAATAGTTTCCAGCGCAAACACGTAGTCCAAGTACTGGGAGTAATGGGCAACTCAGAGATGTTAGGCTATTCTTATAAATAACTGAGTTTTTTTGGTCCTGTGTGGAAAAGAAGAAACAGCCCTTCTTTCTCTTCCTTTGTTTTTTACTGAGAAAAAAGATCTTCCTCATTCTCCTGAGTAATGAGTAAATCTATTGCTCAAGGAGATGGATTATGTTTTACTCTAGCATTTTAACAGTATGTTGGCCAAATATTTGATGTATCGTTCTGTTTTAAAGAAACATCTCTAGGCATTTACTTATTTATTAAATCTTTAAGTGTAAATAACAAAGATTTCCTCATCCTTGGAAAGCTGGCTGGAAGATCACTTACAAAGCTATGAGTTCTTCCATCATGCTTGGTCCCTTGCCCTGTTCAGAAAGGGAGGACCTGAGAATAGAATTCTGTGTTTTTGAACAAAATCACAAATGATTAGCAAACAGAATTATGTTAATTTGGTCACTATAATTCAATTTTGCTTACCGCCTAAATGTAGTAGGAGTTCTACGTGAAGGAATTCTTGTGCATTTACACTCTGCAGAGGCAAACTTATATTATCTAAGCTTTTAATAGCAAGGTACTGTTCATAGTAACCAGTACTGGAAGAAAGAAGAAAAATACAGCCTCTTTTTATGTTTTACAAATAAGTTACACGATAGCGTTTCTCAATTTTTTTTCTGTATTCCTGGAACTATGTTGTAAGAAAATTTATCATCTAAGCCAACTTTATTTCAAAATACTATTTCTTTTGAGATCAATGTGTTTTGAGTGATTATCAGCAGAGAGTGAATTTAAGGCATGTTGAAATGAAAAAAGTTGCCTTGTAAAATAAATTACAAAATAAAGCTATATTAATTATTAAGCTGTCATCAGCATCTTTCATTGGTTTTTGTTTGTTTGTTTGTTGTTTTTTAGGCAGATTAAATGCTTTATTTCCAAAATGATACTATTAACATTTTGACTTATTTTCAAGAACAACGTACCAAATAATTATTTCATATTTTATGCTCCTAAAAGGACAGCCTTACAAAAGAACACATTCAAATTAGATACAGTTAACATTCTCAAAACTAAAAAGCCTATTGTTTTGCAGGTATATTAGGAAAACTTACAACTTTTAAAGCAGACTTAAGAATTCCACGCATTGACAGCAATGGATGATGTTCTTGTCTGCAGTTATTGATGAAAACTTTGTATTTTATTAATGCAACTTTGACATTGATCTTGTTTCCCTTTCAGGCATACTAAAAGTTATTACTCCTTTTCTTTTTCCAGAAGCTTCTTGAACTGAATAACCTTCATTCCCTTATGTCAGTGGTGTCAGCACTGCAAAGTGCACCTATCTTCAGGCTGACAAAAACCTGGGCTGTAAGTTTTCCTTTGACCGTTGTCTTGTCTTTTCTTGTTTGAATTCTGAGGTTTTCTGAACTCTTATGAACTGTTTAATTGGGAAATAACGTTATCTACCTTCTTGCTTGTGTTGCTTCTTGCTTGTGTTGCACCATCATAGGAGGAAAAGTGATCTGCTGCATGTTTTATCAAAGTAAAGCTTAAATGGTTGCATGTTTTAACCATTCTATTTTCCTCAAGAAGCGATTTGACTGTTCTAGAAGCCACTGATTACATGCTCAAGAGGTTTTTCGTTGATAAATAGTCTTAGCAGACTCCAGTACAAGAGCATGTATCTGTATCCTGTTATCCAAATCACTGTATCGTTAATACATTGTGCAATAGGAAAGGTGGGGGGGAGGAACTTCCAAATATGGAAGCATTCATTCTCTGTTTATTATACAATACATTTCAGTTTTCATTTATTTTGGAAATTAAAAGCATTGATAGTTCCATTTTCAGAAATTCAGTCTCTTCATGGCAGAATTTCTCATTTAAATTTACTGTGATTGTATAAATTACTTATGCAAAATGTTTTGCATATTTATCTGTATTGGAATATATGATTATAATGTAGTCCTACTGTATGTAATCTTTAAATATACAGAGGATTAGGTAATTCCCATTAATTCTATATTTCACCCAACATGGATCACAGTAACTGTTAAGAACCGATGAATATATATGACTGTACTTAACTTTTTTACCTTAGTTTATAACACTTTTTAAATGTCTGTAACTTCTTATATGGTTTGAATTTTCAAAATGAGGCTCTGAGGTAATAAAAATGCAAGTGCCTGCTGAGCTGCTTGAAGTAAATATGAAGTTGGAATTTAGATAAGGAAGACTATTTGTGTGTGAAACTGTGTGAATAACTCATTGCAAGACAGACCTAAAGAAATGTTAAGAAATGCATTGTGTGTCACTGTGTAATGTACTACACTCATTAACATTTGTTTTCAAAGTTTCTCTGTAGCATATTTAAGGAATTTAGAATGCCATTAGAGAAGAAAATAAAATGTGACATATTCCCAGTTGAAAAATGTGACATATGCCCAGGTGAATTTAGAATTCAAAAGGTAGTCTTTCACTTCAAATATGTAAATTTTCTCCTCTAAGAAAGAAGAACCTTTTCTTTTTCTAAAGTTTATTACCGGTCCTTTAAAAAGCTAGTGTCTTTTCAATGTTTGTCACAGCTGTGAAAAATTTGATTTCGCTAGCATAAAAGTGATGTTTCTTTGTGTTTGTTAGAGACCAAGCAACTTTTGCTCAATTTTTTCCTATGCTTGTGGTGAGGAATTCTTTTTCTTTTACCTACAAAAAGTAAAATTCTACAATGCTGACGTTGTTCTACGTTGGACAACTTGAAAATACTAAATTTTTTTTTTTAGTGTATTAAAGTAAATCTTGGCCAGCTCCTGTTACATCCGTGTGGAAACTCCAACAAAATCTAAGGCTTTTTGAAGACACAGTAGTCCAACTGTATGCTGCAGTGCAGGGTTAGGACCTTAGGAATTCTCGATGCTATTTAAAAAGTAAACAGTATAATTCATCTGAAATCCTTTCACTCTTGTACCTTTTACTGTAGTTTATTAGCAGCTGTTATTTAGCTGTGATGTGGTATGTGCCGTTCCTAAGTTGTAGGTTTCAGTGTTCCCATGGACAAGGCTCAGTTTTACTGAGGCCTTTTGTCAAGCCCATCTTGTTCTGAACAAGACTGAGTGAAGCAATTAACTCATGCATATGCATCACAATATTTTTGATAAAAGTGGGCAGACTCACGACTCTAGTGACAGAACAGTAAGGTTTATGAGTTCTGTCGTACAAGAGTTGGAATTTTAGAAAGGAAGAGACGTGTTATGAAATGTGCTATGGAAAGCTAACTATCTGTTGTCAGAAAGTAAAATGCAAGAAGCCAGTGTACAGTGCCATAATCCTCCACTCACTCTGGCTCAACTGACTTTTTTTTAAATCATCTTTAAAAGATTACTGCTGTATCTAAAAGCAGCTGAAAGTAAGAATATGTTTTTATAGCTCCAGTTGCATGCTGTGCATTTATGCTTCCGTGTTCTGTCATTTTAGGATTTTTTGCACTGCTATATATTTTTGTGATTTTTCTATAGCAACTCCAGTAATCAAAACCAGAAGTGAGTATCATAATGACTTATTTCTCTTAGATTTTTTTTAAAAAGCTCTTCATACTTTTAGTAATACACTGCACAACTTGCATTTATTTAGAGCATTTCCCAGTGCTGTTTCTTCTACTTTCAAATTCAAGAAGACATTTAACAGTTCTGGTAAATTCTGAACACGTTGCTGGCTGTATGATAGTACACATTTTTCCTTTAAAAATTTAATACTGATGTTATTCAAAATTCTGAAGTGGTGATAAGTAGATTCTTGATAAAATAATAATCACATTTATCCATAACTTAAAATTTAAGCTGAAAGTGCTTTTTTTTTTTTTTTATTTTAACAGGCACCACTTCTCAAACATTGTGCTGTTTTGGATGAGGATGAATTTAATCTTAACTTGAAATTCTCACAGCAAAGGAAAACATGCTCAATAGATTAGTGTTTGTTGTCTTTAACAGTTTAAAAGAAGCAGCTGTACAATGATCTTCATTTTGCTTTCTATGTAGCTTCTGAATCGCAAAGATAAGGCCAACTTTGAGAAGTTAGACTATTTGCTGTCTAAGGAAGATAATTACAAAAGGACACGAGAGTACATCAGAAGCTTAAAAATGGTTCCTACTATTCCATATTTAGGTGAGTGTGAACATTTGGCTCATGTGTCTGTGTAAACGTACAAGAAAACTTAGCTTATTTTGACAATCATTTATGTAGCATGTTGTGCACCTGAAAAACACTACATATAGAATGTATGATTCACTTCATTTGACGTTCAGAAAGATTAAATCTGGTGTATTTTTAAGATATGATTCTGTCTAGGGTCACTCTAACTTGTAGAAGTTTCATGTTTTACTGAAATCTCCAACCATATGTATATCTCCTGTTTACAGTGCATTTGAGTTCATTAGAATTTACAAGAGCACTGGTTGATTACGATACGATTTGAGACCTTATAGCTAGCTAGACTGGTAGCTTGCTAGACTGGTATTTCAGATACCTAATAACTTGGTATCTCAAAACTGTAGTTGTTTTGTGACAATTTCTTGTAAATACATTGAAAAGAGATACAAACTGAAAAGACAGTTCAATTTATTGACTTCTCTTTTCAGAACCTCCCTTTTATTGTCCATGTAGGGGCACTATATCATTATTTTCCTAACTGTTCTTTTAGCTCACTATTCCTGCACATTACTGAACTGTACTAGCATTCTTGAATACTGCAAAGCCACAGATTCCTGCTAAGAATGTCCATTCAGCATATTGGAAGGTCTTTCCATTGGTGGGGTTTTTAAAAGTAATAAATTAGTCTAAGGAGTATTTAATCATGTCTTCAGTAAGCAATTATACAGCATAATAGAAACAGTAATATTTATTGTAATTATTTTTTCGTGCCCAAAAATGACAAATACAGTGCTTTTTCTATAGCAATCTACATGTATAAAGCATGGTTCTGTTGAAGTAACTGTTTTGAACATTCTGTAAATATGGTTCTCAGAAAAAAAAAAAAAAAATTAAGTCGAGAATTTCCATCACAGATGTTCAGCACAAATCATTAATGTTTGGCAAAGTTACAAGCAGCAAAATACATCATAAAGAAATGTCTTACACAAGTTTAGCTATTGGTATAACCACAAACTCCACTCTTAATGCAGCTTGGTGCTCATCTAATGTCATTTTGTCTTGCACTTCAGCCACATGAACTCCACAAAATCAAATGTGAGATACATCTTTACCTAAAATACTAGTTCCCCATGCCTATTATTGCTGACACAGGAATTCCAGTTAATGGTCTACAATTACAGCCACATCTATGAGAAGGAAACTTAGATAGTCTAGGAATGATACCACACAGTTCTTAGAAAAGCTTCTTATCATTGTGACACTTTAAGCAAATGGAGATATTCATATAATTTCAAAGGGATATATGAGGGAAACTGGGGGGTTTTTTTGCATATGCTTTTTAACATCGCAAACTTATTTATAGTCTTAAAGTATTTAAGGAACTCCTGAGGGAAAGAAAGACTTATATGGATGCATAAGCCCTTCCAGCTGGTCAGTAGTTTAATCTAACCTGCAGCATGTTTTTTAGTATCTTCATCCCTTTAGTTTTTAACTGTTGATTCTGTTGATTTATTGCATATACATTGGAAGAAATTCATGACATATGGTGTTACATTTACTTAAATCATTTGGAAATAATAGCCTTTTTTTACCCTAAAGCAAGACATATAGATCCATCAGGATAAGATCCTTCTCAAATTATGATTTGCAGAAATGTTTTTATTCTTTGCCAAGAGACTGTTAGAGAAGCAAACGGATGCCAAATGTAATGAACTGAGTCTTGTTGACAAACATGTTATCACGGACAGCCTAACTTAAAAGTTGAAAGGAGAGTTTAGTAGGTTAGTACGCAGACGATGTGAACAATTGCTGGAAATATTTTACTTAGTGTACATGTGCTTATAAAGAGCTTATAAAGATTTACACAAATTCAGGGCTATCAGATTTTAATGCTTTTTTTGTATTGGTTTTATATCATTATCCTGCTGGTTAGCCTATAAAACTCTATCTTCATCCTTCTGTTGCCTAGGAGGGAAAGCAGACTCAACTTTGTATTCAGATTTGCTTTGATTTGGGTCAAAGTTATAATCATAAAATGCTATCTTTTGTACAATTGTTGGTTCAATTTTTATTGGCTATGTGTCAATTTATGTTGTATCCTCTCTGAAGAGTAGAAGTCTTGATGGCTTTTAGAATCACTATATGTAGATTTTTTTTTTTTTTTTTTTTGTCTCTACCCATCAGTGCTCCCCACAGGACTTTCTCACTAAACGTACATAAAATGTATCTTACTTTGTTACCTGCATTTGTAATGAATGATATATGTCTGGAGAGCATGTCTAGCTGGAAGTTCAATGGGAAACTAGCTCCTGTTTTCTCTGATGATCCTCAGTGAATGTGTATGCCCATATGAGAAGAGTGACCTTATGTTCTGCATGGCTGAGATGAATGCCTAAATGTGATTTGTCCAGCTTCCCTGTATTCCTGTGCTTTAGTATCAGCTGTAGTGGTACTAGCAGCATTCTGATACAGTCTCTTAGCTGTAACTTGTCTTCTGTTTAGGCTGTGCAATCCAGGTACGTCAACAAGCCCTGTAAAGTTCTAACTCTTGGAGACCTGAGGATTTCAGGACCCAGATTAGGTGACGCTGTGATATAAGGGAAGATTTTTTTTTTTTTTAATGTAATTGTAGCCAAACTGTATCTTAAGCTCCAGATTTTCACCAAAGCTTATTACACAACATGAGCTTATAGTGGGGGAATTTTAAAACACATCCTTTTACTTGGAGAAATTGGAGTGATTGCTTGAAATTTGTCTTTTGTCTCAAAGGAGTGCATATTTAAGAATTAAAAATAAATATTTTTTAAAGAAAGAACACTGATTGCTTTTTACAGTCTTGGAAACAGTTTTTGACAACAGTAATAAGCATAGGCTGTGTGTAAAGACAGTATTTTGAATTCTACAGGAATTTATTTTTTGATTACTTCGGTATATGGCCAGAACAAAAACAAAGCTCTGACAAGAGACCATGTCCTCATAGGCATATATCTGTTTAACAGCCTTCAGAAAGTATATGTGAAAGACTCATATTTTTGAGAACCTGCCTAAATGATATTTTCACTCATGCTTTTTTCTACTCTGTTACCCCAGAACTCTAGATTACCCAGTGGATCAAGAAAGTGTACATTTAAAAGTAAGACTTTCAACAATGACAAAATGGTATTCTGTCATTGGTATAATTTGCGGGTTTTGAAAAATCTATCCAGTTTGCATTACTAAACAGAACTTACAGTAAAATAAAAACCTGGAAATGGTATGCACAAATACTTATGTGCATGTTTTCTCTCCTCTTCTGTACAAATTTTTGGAATGAGTATTTCTATCATATGCTAAATATATTTATAGTTCAACTAGAAATTTCATAAAAGCAGACCTGCAGTTAAAATAGCGTCTAATGTTGATTACCTCCTGTTCTTTTGTAATGTACAAAGTAGCCATGCAACCAAGCGTTTATCAGTATTCCATCTGGTAATATGTCTGAGCATGCCATTTGTTTTTAATGAGTACAGTCTGAGTGGTACTAGCTTTTGAGATTCTTGATGCACTGTCTGGCTTGCTCAGTCTCTATAGGCAGCGTCGGACCTACGCTCCTGTCAGAATGAGGCATCTGTGACTTGTAAGGCTTACCATTTATTCGGAAAAACAAGTTTTTTCTTCTGTTAAATCCTTCACTTCGCTACTAAGAACTGTAGAACTAACAGGCTAGCGCTAGAGCTTGAACTCTAGACTGACAACTCCAGAAGTGGGAAAAACTCTTCGAATAGGACACTGAAAAGCGCATCCACAGATTATGTGCAATTGCTACATCATTTCTCTTCTATCATGGAAGTTCTGATTCAGATTCTGTTTGAAGTTAGTAATTCAGAGAAAGCAGATGAGTTCAGGAAGTTTTTATGTTCTGTTTTAGGAATAAGTTATGTTACATAGTCATATCATGATCTATTTTGTAGGTTTCTTAGTAATTTGGGATGGTGCTAAGCTGGAACTAAAAAGTATAAGAATTTTTAAATCAATGCACCTGCATAACTAGAGCTCAAGAATTCTACATAAATTTCCTGAGCAAGAAATGCTGTCTTTGTATTTAGTGACCTCAGTGCATTTCTTCTCCATAAACTCATGCATTCTCTCATGTATAAACTCCTTGCAGCCCCCTCACCCAGGTGGCAGAGATTTCCTCATCTCTGTCAAGTACCACATTCTTTTGTTTTATTTCAGCATGATATTTTCTACCTTTAGTTCGTATCTCTTGTTTTTTATGCACCCTCTTCTGACTACTCATGTCTTCATAGACCTCTGTCATTATCTCTTGTTGTCTTCACACTGTATCTTCAGTTATTTCTCTTCCAAACTGAAGAGTCCTTGCTTAGTTGATCATTCCTCATACGCGTGCATTGACTGTCCTTGGCAAACTTCTGTGGCCATTCTGTAACCTTTCTGAGAGAAAGAGAGTGGACATGGACTGCACACAGTATTCGAGATAAAAGTGCACCTTAGGTTTATACAGTGACTTCAAAATGTTCTGTGTTCCATTTAATAAATCCTAACGTTCCAAGAACTTGCCTTTATTGGCAGTTATTAGCTTCTTTCATTTTATATGGAACGTCAGGGTTTTTTTTTCCTTGTTTGTATCACTATGTTGATCTCTGTAGATTTTATCTGTTGTCTTACTGTCCAGTCCCTGTCTCGTAAGTCCTTCCACAGTACCTCACAGTCAGCCCTTCTCTTTCCTACCCGAATCAGTTAATATCAACAGCAGCTTTTTGTTCCATTGTTCACCCCCGTTTTTTTCAGGTCACTTATGAATATGTTGAACAGCATGAGTCCCAGCACAAATCCCTGTGGATAATAGTCAGTGCTGTTTACATAAAATATTTCTTACTAAATATATTTGACAGCCATTCCTAATGGCCACATTTATTTAAAAAAAAAAAAAATTGAAAAACTAGTGTAAGTTATTGAAAGTTCCATGGATATACTTTAGGTCTGAAGGATTGCTTAGCATTATCAAAAGAGAA